AGTCGGACGCTTAACCGACTGCGCCACCCAGGCGCCCCTGCGATGAATTATTTTAATATTCTTTAGAGCTCTTGAAAAATGGACTAGACTTTGTAATTATTCTGTTTCCTTACCTCACATATATTTCTTCATTAATATCTGCCTTCTGACCTTACTATTCAGATAAAGTTGTTCTCCAAGACTTTTCTAAAAGCTGCCTTGTTGTTAAATCCAATTCATTCAAGAAAAATTTTCTGAGTGTCTCCTATGTGCCAGACACTGTTCTAGGCACTGGATACTAAGCAATGAACAAAGCAGACAAAAATACCAATCCCCGTAGAGTTTAAATTCTACTGGAGACATCAGGGAGTAAACAGGATAATTAAGTAAAATACATACTATGTTGTTAAAAACTATGGATTAACAAAGCAGGGAAGAGGGTTGGGAAGGCTTTGGGGTGCAGTTTTAAATAAGATGGCCCAGAAATGCTTTCAAAGTGAATTGAATAAAGACCTGAAGGAAGCAAGGTAGCTAGCATGCAGTTATCTGGGGAAGATTATTCTAGGCAGAAGGAAAAGGAAGTGCAAAAACCCTGGGTTAGAAATGTTTTTACCTTTTAGAAATACCCAGGAAGCCAGTGTAGCTGGAGCAGAGTATATATACCAAGGGGAAGGTAGTAGAGGACTACATCGGTGCTTTCTGAGTCAGAAAGTCTGAGTGAGGGCTAGAGATTTTACGTGGTAGTATGTTCCCAGGCAATGTCAGTGCTGCTGGTATGAGGGCCATACTTTTGAGTAGCAAGGACTAGACCATGTACAATCTTATAGGTCAGAGTAAGCACTTTTAACTGGCACTCTGAGAGAGGTGAGAAAGCATTGGAGGATTTTGAGCAGAATGATCTGATATTTATTTTTTAATAGGATCCCTGTGGCTGTTATATTGAGAATAGAGTGAAGGGAGCAGGGGCTGAAGCAAGGAGATGAGTTAAGCTCCTGAAATAATTCAAGTGAGAGATGATGAGTTAAAGAACATCACTAGTGACAAGAGTATTTTTGTTGGAGTAGTAGGGTTGAGACCTCATTGGAGAGGGTTTCAGGGATAATGGGAATGGGGTTTGGTGCCATGTAGAATTTGACGTATATTTTGAAGATAAACCAAGTTAAGATTTGCTTGAAAAACCAGATGAGATGTGAGAAGGGAGAAAAAAGCAATCAAGGACAACTCCAAACTGTTGGCCTAAGCGACCGAAGGGATGACTTAGATGGGGAAAACTAAGCAGGAGATTTTAAATTTGAGATGCTTGTTAGATATCCAAGCAGAAATGTCAAATAGACAGCTTGATATAGGGCTTAGGGGCTAGGGGAGGTCTCGACTAGAAAAAGAAACACGGGAATCATCGGCATATACCTGATATTTAAAGCCAGAGACTGGCTGAGATCACTGAAGAAATGAGCGCTATGTAGATAGAAAAGAGAAGAGATCTAATGCCTGAGCTCTGGGATACACTAGCATTTAAGCCAGGCAGAAGAGGAAAAGTCAACAAAGAACACTAAAGGGAATAGCTAAAAAGGTAGCAGAAAAACCAGAGGAGTGCCATGTCCTGGAGAACAAGTTAAAAAAAGGTATTTCAAGAGGAAGAGATCAACTGTGTTAAAACCTTTTGGAAGATCGGGTGAGATGAAGGCTGAGAAATGACGCGGAATTTAGCATGGAGGGCATCGGTGACTTTTGTAAGAGTTGTAAGGACACATGTCCTTTGGGTTACGTTTAAGAGAGAATGAAAGAAGAGAAATTGAAGCCAATAGATATAAACAATTCTTTTCAGAGTACAGATCTTCCTCAGCTTACCATGGGGTTACCTCCAGATAAACCCATAGTAAATTGAAAATACCATTGGTCAGAAATGCACTTAATGCACCTAACCTACCGAACATCATAGCTTAGCCTAGCCTACCTTCAGCGTGCTCAGAACACTTACATTAGCCTACGGTTAGGCAAAATCATCCAGCACAAAGCCTAAAGTGTTGAATATCTGTAGTTTGTTGAATATTGTACTGAAAGTGAAAACAACACTTGTATGGATACAGAATGGTCATAAGGGTATCAGTTATTTACTCTGGTGATTGCGAGGCTGACCAGGAGCTGAGGCTCACTGCAGCTGCCCAGCATTGTGAGAGAGGACCATGCAGCGCATCACTAAACTAAAGAAAAGATCCAAATACAAAAGTCCGAGTGTGGTGTCTACTGAATCTATCTCACGTTCACACCATCGTCAAGTTGAAAAATCATAAATCAAACTGTCTTAAGTTGGGGATGGTCTCTATGAATAATTCTGTAATGGAAAGGAGAAAAATGAAGTGGGATCCAGAGAGTGCTTTTTGTTTTGTTTCATTTTGTTTTAAGGTAACAAGGTAAGAGTAAAAAATGTCACATTTGCTTGCTGACTAGGCTGATCCAGTGGACAAGGAAGAATTGGTAATGCAGGAGAGGGCAGGATTGCTAAAAACCTGTCTTTGAGTAGGCTAAATGCTGTGGGGTCCATGGCACAAATGGAAGGGTTGTTGGCTTTAACTAAGTGCGTGCCAACTCATTTATAGGAACAAAAGAACCTTGTTTTGTTTTGTTTTGTTTTGTTCCAAACTGTGTCCAACTTGTCATCTCCAAGACATTTGATGCCTGTGACCACTCCCCTCTGGTTTCTGTTCATTTCAGTCAGGGATTCATAGGATTGATACATTTCCCCAAACCTAACTTTCATATTTTACTGAAATAAGAATGTACAAGAATTAGTAACTTAAAAGTTGATGGCACTGTTGGAACAAGAATGACAGTGAGTGAAAAAACAAGTTGCCAAAGCCATCCAAAGTGATTGAAACATCTGGAAAATAAAGCTACCAGGATCAAACTGGGTCTCTGATGGTGCCTCTTTTCAGAGAACATGATTGGCATTGAGTTCATAATTTCTCTTAGTCTTTTTCAAAGGACCTCAAAGACCTCAAAAATGTAGGAAACTCCTGTTTAAAATCATCTATTATATTTTCTAGAAAGGGTCAGAAAAGTGTAATTTCTTTCATTTCCAGGACAGTGTGCATCTGCTTTCATTCATTTCTCAGCCCACTGGAATCTGAATATTATTCCCCTAATTCTACTAAAACTATGCTCCCTAAAATTGCCAACAACCTTTAGGTCTTCGAATTTAGCAGATACTTTTCAGCCTATCTTATTTGACATCTGCATCTTTTTACTTGGTTCATACCCACTTCTAAAAAGTCTTTCTGCCTTGGCCTCTTTGACAGTATTCTCTCCTAAATCTCTTAATGCCCTGCTTAGTCTTTCCTACTTCTTCTAATGCTTGCTCTTCAAATGATCTTTTCCAACAGAGTTCTGTCCTGACTTTCTTCTCTCTTTCTGGAGAATATCCAGCACTTCCCATTTTTCTGATTTTCTTCACTTCTGTTCTCTCAATGCATGTTTCCAGTTGTCTGTGGGACAGCTTCACTTAATTATGCCATGAGTGTTTCAGACTTACCGTTTTCTCTTCTGTCTTATACCCACCCCACCCATCCCCCACACACTTTGCAGTTGACATTGGCTAATAGTGCATAATCACCCATAGAGTTACCTTTGACTCAGTCATTAAGTTCACTCTATCCCTGAAATATCTCTTAGCTATCATTCCCCTCTTCCCCATCCTGCCTGCCTGTCTCTCACTTAGTCTATAGCAGTAGCCTCCTGAAAGGTTGCCCTTACTCCTGTTATACTCTTTTCTTTCTGCCTGTAATGATGTTTACCTGGCGAGTACCTATTTATCTTTCAAGACCTCTGTAAAATCTGTCTTAACATCCTCTACATATGTATAAAATTCATCATACCATACACTTTTTACAAACCTCTATTTTAGTACTTACATTGCATTGTAATTATTTGCCTATAACCCTATGAAGTATACATTCTTCCAGAATAGTGAGTGAATCCAGTCATCTACCTTATTATGTCCACTTTTCAGAAGGTTGAGATCTGGTTTGCCAACTCGTCTGGAACAGAATGCTGGAAACAGAAAAGAAATATGTGTTTTATTTCCTAACATTTATACCTGAACCTACTGAACTTAATAATATCATTAGATGATCTGGTTGTCAATAAACACTTGAGTCCAAGAAGTAATAACCTATGGAATGTACCATAAGAGATACTTCTTACGCCCTTCTGTGACAGGGCACCCTGCCTCTACAACTGCCATTCCTATTCTCCTTTTCCATTAACAATATTTTCCCTTTACACTGGAGATAAGATGCATGAAAAGTAGCATATAAAAGTGAGACTCTGTTGCATGCTCAGAACTAAAATGTCAATGTTGAGGGGAGAGGTCATTTTTTGAGAAAAGATTATAGTTTGTTTTTTTTTAAGTTTATGTATTTTTGAGAGACAGAGAGCAAGTGAGCAGGGGAGGGGCAGAGAGAGGGGAAGAGAGAATCCCAAGCAGGCTCCACGCCATGAGCGCAGATCCCGATGTAGGGCTTGAACTCACAAACCTTGAAATCATGACCTAAGCTGAAACTAAGAGCTGGACGCTTAACCAACTGAGCCACCCAGTTGCCCCTAGTTATTTTTAATAGAAGGCTTCTCCATGAAAATGACCTAGTTTAATCAAGCACTGAAACTAGTTTTTTAAATACTCTATAACTATTCTGGAGACCTTATTTACATTTACACAAATGAGGTGGGGTAATTAAACCTGGCTTCTGCTTTTGTTGACAGGGCAATTTGTCTTGAACCTTGGTAAATAGGAATCTTTGATGCTATTGATAACTGAACACATCTGCCTGTTACTCTTAAGGTTAACCCACCCAGAGGTTCCATATAGTAGTGGAGCCACATCATCCACCAACAATCCAGAATTTGTGGAGGATCTCTCCCAAGGTCAGTTGCTTCAGAATGAGGCTTCAAATACAGCAGAAGGCACTGAACAGAGGCATGAAGATGAGGTAAGCTGAAGAAGCATTTCTTCCTGTTACCAGTCTCTGAAGTTTCTAAAGAAGCAGTCAGCAAAGGAATTGATCGAAGCATTCATCTTCTGGCCCCCCTACATTCTGCAGAATTTTCTTCGTAGAACCGTATTAATAGTTTCACATAAAACCATATTAATGGTTTTAATGACACAGAGACAAGTAGACTCTTTTTCCCCCTGCTTAATAAATTTATACCTACATCATACTAGATGCTCAACAAATGCTTACTGAATGAATGAATCATTTACATAAGTAATTAACGAGAAGTCCACATGCCCTTGTTCAAGGCCACACATTTTATGCACACCAAGCCCTATAGCATGGAATCATACATTCTCAGAGGATCCACACCACTTACCAAGCCATTCACCCTCTCATAGAGGGCATCCTTCTCTAATTCACACAAGGTTCCATATGGGCCTGGGGCAGTCATGCCCTTGTTGGACTTTCAGTGTTCCTCACAATTGATTGATTACATTGTCCACGTTAAGGCACTCTTTTTTAGTCATACAAGAATACCACCATGAATTTCATCTTTTTTCTTGTTTTATTTATTTGTTTTTAAAGTTTATTTATTTAATTTAGAAGTAAGTGCAAGCAGGGGAGGGTCAGAGAGAGAGGGAGAGAATTGCAAGCAGGCTCCATGCTGCCAGTACAGAGCCCAACGCAGGGCTCAATCCCACAAACCATGACCTGAGCCAAGATCATGACCTGAGCCAAGATGAAGAGCTGGATGCTCAATCAACTGAGCCTTTCCAGTGCCCCATCATCTTTTTTCTTACTTTAAAAGAGCTGATTCTTTTCATGTTGGCATCCTTTAAGATTATAATGAATGCTTGAAGCTTCTTAAACATCTTAAAATCCTTAGTAGCTTTAATGTTACTAAGTTTACAAGACAAAATCAGGGGGAAAAAAAGCTGATAGCAAATACACCATTTGCCCAGTGGTGAATAATTCATATTAATTTGGAGGACTACAGTACTATAATTAATATTTTAATGTTTTTGTCGCATTTCATTTATTTTTCTCTTTGAAAGAAGAATTCTTGTATCCATAAAAGTTTATTAAGTGATAGGCTGTGTGTATTTGTAAAATTATGAAGCAAAAGTGTGAGGGAGCTTTCATCTCATTAAAAGACAAAGAGATGGGGGGTACTTGGATGGCTTGGTCAGTCACTCTGCCCCTCCCCTGTTCATGTGCTCGCTCTCTCTCTCTCTCTCTCTCTCTCTCTCAAAATAAATAAATAAACTTTAAAAAAAGAAAGACAAAGAGAAAGGGTTGTGGTAAAACATCAGTAGTACCTCAGTCCTTTCTTTAAACTTTTTTGAGGTGATTTCATTTTTTGATGTAACTCATAACATATAAAGACCTCTGACTTTATAAAATAAACATCTTAAGGAACAAGTCATCAAGGCAAAAAACTAAGTATTCATTTTGGATATATTATACTTGATGAAATTTAGATATTAATTTAGAAATCTATATGTTGTCTACTGTGGGAAGTGAACTGGTCTTTGATGGTATCAATGAAAAACATCCTTCACGAATGATTTTTAAGCCCTGTACTACAACTTGTCTCTTTGCCCAGTGTTTGTGACATCTTGTTCTGATCTACCATGACAGTGTCTGCTTCTCTGGCATAGTATTATGTATGTGCTGCGTTTCTCATTTAGGAAATTCCCCTGTCAGGAGTTAGGACTTGTTAAGTGCGTATGAAGGCCAAAGTGTACATGATCATGGTGCCCCTTCTTCTCATCAGTTAGGATTAGCCCCTTAATGTAACAGTCTGTAGTGTGGTACATGAAAGGATGTGCAGATGAACCATCTAGAGTTCCTTCTTGAAGACTGCATTGCAGTCATTTGTACCTATGACAGATTTGGAGAGCTTTGAATATCTAGGCTCCTAATGGTAGGAAAATGCAACTCTTATCCTGTTGTGTTCGTTTGTTTTATTGTTGTGTTATTTGGGTGGATTTTGTAATTTGGTTTTTGGTTTTTTTATTTTGTCTTACAGCAAAGAAGTAAACGAGGAGGTTGGTCCAAAGGAAGAAAGAGGAAGAAACCTCTTCGAGACAGCAACGCACCCAAATCCCCCCTTACAGGATATGTTCGATTCATGAACGAGCGTCGAGAACAGCTTCGAGCAAAAAGACCAGAAGTCCCATTTCCAGAAATCACAAGGATGTTAGGCAATGAATGGAGTAAACTGCCCCCTGAGGAAAAACAGGTAATTGTTCCTATTCCTGATCCTCTGCTTGGTTTTGATTATGCCTCAAAAATAGCTTCCATCAGAAAAGCAAAGAGGATGGGTGGTTGATTCTTCAATTTTGTCATGGGGCGTAGAAGAACAGAATAGCAGGATTCGTCATAACTCTTTTCTCTAGCACAGTGGTTTTTGTACTGTTTCAGGATCTGCTTCAGGGGTACAAGCAGGAGGGCCCCTAGCAGCCCCCCTAAACCAAAGCAGCTCTACTCTTATTTGATTTATATGCTAAGAGTTCATATAAGAATTTTATAAAAAGTGATTCAATATTAAGAAATTAAGAAATCTGTTGATATGATTTATTCTACCGAGTCAAATGAAAAGTCAGGAGTTCAATAAGAAAAGGTCATTTGATAAAATTCTGCTGTTCACATAAGATTTTTGTTTAATTTTTTTTAACAAGTTCTGGCAAATTTAACCTACTATGAAAAATAAAGCAAGAACTATTTGAATTCCTCTCTAAGCAAAAACTAACACTGTTGCCAAACTGAAACAAATCCATTTGTTAGAGAGGGTTGAGAGGAATTAAGGACAAGATAGCCACAAATTGGTTGAAATGCCACAAAAGCAGAATGATGGTAGGTTGTGGGAGTGGCTTGGGGTTAAAAGTTCCCAGCATTCTCAGCATCTAAAAGATAGCTATATTTCTTTTATGTCTCATACTCTTTACAAAGGATTCCAAACAAACAAAAACCAAATTGAAAAATACTCTGGGGAATTAACTGAATTCAGAAAATTTCAAGGAGATTATATTAAGTTGCAACTTGAAGCTCTTTGTGGTAGCCAGCAAGTAGAAACCAGTGCATATTGTCCATTATCTTATCCCTAATGTATAAAGGGATCGTGAGCTGTACGTACTCCATACTTCATTGTTTACTCTTTTGTTTTTAATTTCTTAATTTCATAATTAATACATGCTCTTTGTTTAACATGTTTTTAAGATGATGCAGAAGTGTGTAAAGGAAAAAGCAAAAGTAACATTAATTTTCTCCAGAGATAACCACTATTAGGTAGGGCAAAGGTTTTAGTGTTTGTTTTTAACTTTTTTTCTTTTTACTGTTTATTTATTTTTGAAAGGGGAGAGGGGCAGAGAGAGGGGGGTACAGAGGATCCAAAGCAAGCTCTGCACTGACAGCAGAGCCCAAAGCAGGGCTCAAACTCACCAACCATGAGATTGTGACCTTAGCCGGAGTCAGACACTTAACAGACTGAGCCACCTAGTTGCCCGTTTTTAACTTTTTATTTTGAAAAAATTTCAATGTACAGAAAGTTATAAACACAGGATAGTACAAAGAATGCCTAAATACCCTTTACCCAAATTCACCCGTAGTTAACATGTTTTACCCCATCTGTCCATTTGTGTATGCACTTACACTCTTCTGAGCAAGCTACACATACTAAGCACTCACGCTCACTTGCTTGCGTGTGCATGTGCGTGCTCACTCTCTCTCACTGACATACCCACGTGCATGCACACTCATGCTTGTGTGCTTTCTGTCTCACACACACACGCACACCTTTTTTCAAAATCATTTGAGAGTAAGTTATATACCTCATTGCCCTTCACCCCTAAATATTTCAGTGTACATTTCCTAAAAGTAGATATGTTTTCTCACACATAGTTTCATTATCAACTGTATAATTTTATATTAACACAATATTTTTATCTAATTTACTGTCTATATTCCAATTTTGTCAGTTGACCTAATATCCTTCCTCTGTGACATTTTCCCCCTCCAGTTCAGATTCCAGTCCAGGGCAGGGTTTTGTGTTTCATAGTCAGAACTCTGGATTCCTTTAATCTGGGATATTTCCACAGTCTTTCTTTGTCTTTCATGACATTGATATTTTTTAAGAATGCAATCCCTCCCTCTTTCTCCACCTCCTTTTTGTTTACTTCTAATGAACATTGCTCATTTTGTACTTGTCTAATGTTTCCTTGTGATGACATTGAGTTATGCATTCTTAGAATACTGCATAGGTGGTATTGTGTCCTTCTCCGGGTATCACATGTGCAAGCACACAATGTCCTTTTATTCCTTACTGGTAATGTTAATTTTGCTCTCTCAATAAAGTTTTTTTTATTCTCTTTTACAATTAATAAGGAATCTGTGGAGAGACATTTTAACAACATACAGAGTCCGTTCCATATCGACGTCCCCCCTAGATTTAGCATCCACTGATGACTTTTGCTTGGTCTAATCTTTACCGTGAGGGTTGCAAAATGATAATTTTCCAACTCTAGCACTCCCTTCACATTTACTGCTCAGCTTTCAGCATTCTAACTTAAGCAAGAACCCTTTTCCTCCCTGCTGTTTGTTATTTATCGTTGGTATGAGCATACTAATTTTTTTCCCCAAAGGTTTATAATTTTATTACTGTACTTCAGTATTGGGGTACTTAAATTGTCCCATGTTTGACCAGTCGAGTGTCTTCTACATCTGACTCTTGTGCAAGACAAGGTTTTTAATGTAATATCTGACTCTAGTTTGTGTCCATTTAAAAGCACTATTTTTATACATTATTTCTTAAACCTAATTGCTGAATGAAAAGGACAAGGCACTAAACAAAATTATCCTGTTGGATCAATGACTTTATTTAAATAATTAATAGCACAAAGAGTGCAGATATAGGCTCTGTCATAGTAGTCCATTTTAGGTCCATAGGATGAGGTCATTCCTTTTTATGTTCTTTGTGTCTCCCGGCTTTCGTGCTCTACTCTTCTGGCTCTTAAAAGGCCAATTGATGTATGAGATCATTCTCTCAGAATGGGTTGGGGATAGAGAAACAAAGTAATATTCCATCCTTTCTCTTGGGAAGACTAAATATGCCTATGTGGTGTTCAGTCCTCTTGAGGACTCTAGTGGCCATGTATAGGTCTGTCTATGGGATTAGAAGAATAACTGTAATGTCTTCATATGAATATTTTATGAGAATGATCTCAATAGAACTTGTCTTCATTAAGTTAGAAAATGTAATAGTGTAAAGAATTAGAATCACCTATTTCTTTTATAATTGAGGGATTATATATTTTTCTATCCATATGATTTCTTTATTCTCCCTTAGAGCTTATCCTTCATATACTTTCTTCCCATATTCTAATTGTCCTCTGTTTTCTTCAGTGAGTTCACTAATATTTTACCCAGATGTGTTTCTTGAAAATAATTCCACATTTCTTTCCTAGCGCTACCTTGATGAAGCAGACAGAGATAAGGAGCGTTACATGAAGGAACTGGAGCAGTATCAGAAGACTGAGGCCTACAAGGTCTTCAGTAGGAAAACCCAGGACCGTCAGAAAGGCAAATCTCATAGGCAAGGTATCAGAACCAGAATGAGATGTTTTTGTAGTTTGTTGTGCATGACAGAGTGTCACAAAGCCTATTGTTAGCGTGATAAATGTAAAAGGTAAGTTTCCATCGTTTCTCTATTATGCCACATTCACAAACATACCTTGGAATTTTATTAAAATCATATTACTCTCATTTAAAAATCTCAGTTGCATTTCCATATCCAGGGTCAATAATTTGATTTGTGTTCCAAGACCCCTCTTAGTTGCCTATGCTTTTTTTCCTAATTCCGGGGTTAGGCATTTCTCTGCCTCTAAACAAGTCTGTCTGCTAAACTACATACCTGCCTTTCTTTGACACCACTAAGCCTTCGTGCACCATTTCTCCCACCCTTCAGTGCTCATCCTTTTCATTCATTCATCCATTCATGTATTCGTGTACTCAAACACTACATGTTGAGCTTTCATATATTGTCTACCAGGCTTTATTATACCAGGCTTTCACCTAGGCATTAAGGATGCAACAGTGAACATGACAGACAAGATCCCAGTCTTCATGGATTCTTGTTCTCTGTTAAAATTGTTCATCACACCCTTCAAGTCCCCTTTCTTCAGGAGACATTGCCAGAGAAGCCCCACCTCCCACTAGTCTGTCATTCCTTAGCCATTGCATCTTCTCCACATTTGGGCATCTTGCCTGCTAAACTTTAATGTTGTACAAACAGCCTATCGTGTGTGTCTCCTGTCCACTCTCCCACTCTGTTCTCCTCAAAGGTCAGAACTGCATCTGCTGTTTCTCTTGTGTCTAACTAACTAACTGTAGTGCAGCACAGTTCATTTTCTTGGGTTTTGTTATTGTTTTGTTTTGTTCTTGAAACTAATGTTCTCTTATTCTTTCATATTTTAGATGCAGCCCGACAGGCCACTCATGATCATGAGGTAATTAGCTTTCTGTCTGCGTATCATATATCTATTTATAATAATGTTGCTGTTTGTCATGCTTTTGGACCTTTCTTTTCTTTTTTTTCTTTTTTTTTTTTTCTTAATGAATGGCATATTATTTCCTATCACATAATTCATATTGGGTGAGTTGCTTTTGCTCAAGGATTCTTACTATATGGCGGGCACCTATCATGAGTCTGTCCTTGAACTACGGCCCCTAACTCCAGTCCTGTGGTCCAAGAATTTATTGCCTTGAAATGCTAAAGATGGCTGGAATTTGGAGTGAGGTATAGAAATGAAGACCAGCTGAAAATCATAACTTAATCATAGTTTTTCATCATCAGATATCTCACTCTGACTCTCAGAAAGTTGTTTTTTAGGGAATTCCACATTTAGTTAAAATGAACTATTCAGCCATAGTGTCATTGGAGCACAAGTGACAGTATCTTGGTTCCTAGCTCACAGGCACTTATTTGTTTACTGGCTTTTTCCCCTCCGTTTGGTTTAAGCCTGTCATCCATAGGATTTGGGCCTATGTTCCTATATAGGATTTTAGGCCCATGTGTCTTGGCTATGTGTCTTGGCAAAGAGAGCTTTAAATATATAGATAGCCCAAGGTTCACATATGGTTATAAGAAAATAAAATATTTTGGTAATTCCATGCTTTACAATACTCAGTGACTTTTCATCGCTTATCAAATTCCATTCACCTCAGCAATCTGAGTCTTCTGTAATCAAGTCCCACCTTCCCTTTCCAAATACCTTAACTCCCATGTTTCCCATGTATATGTTACATACTTAGCTAAAAAGCCTTTACTACTCATTGTCCTCCACGTGCCCCCATCCCTTTCTGCCTCATGCTTGTGCTCATATTCTTTCTTGCATGAAAATACTTCTGTCTGTCACTCAGTTTTCCCATTACCCCTCCCCATCACCCCATTCTGCCTCGCGAAATTCTAGCCATCCATCAAACCCGGTTTCAAGTTCCATTTCCTCTTTCAAGCTTTTCCTGTGTCTCTAGCTTCCTTTAACCCTCACAGCTCTCTCTGTTTCTCATCTGCAGTCAGCTGCTCTAGCTAAGATGTTGAGATTATTCAAGTGCTTCTGTTCTTCACATTCCTGGATTATAATCTCTTCAAAGGCACCCATGGTCTAGTTTCCATCTTGTACCCACCCCATTACCACCTAGCGTGATGTGCGTGTATTGGGAGGTCTTCCAGAAATACTAATTTTTATACAAAACCCATTTGTTTAAATAACAGCAGAAATTTACAAAAAAAGAATTTTCTGTTGTAATCTTGCGTGCATTTGGCTTTTTAAGAAATAATTTTTTCAAAATAATAAGTTAACTTCTCTTGGGGCTGTAGTTCTCATACCTAATTTGGCATTGGTGACCTTCAAAACATAGAGAAAACATTTAGATTAACAAGTCAAATAGATTATTTTTAAGTTATTTTTAATGCTTTTTTAAATTTTATTTTAGTGTTTATTTTTAAGAGAAAGAGAGGGAGAGAGAGACAGAGAGAGAGTGAGGAAGGGGCAGAGAGAGGGAGACACAGAATCTGAAACAGGCTCCAGGCTCGAGCTGTCAGCAAAGAGCCTGATGCAGGGCTCAAACTCACTAACCATGAGATCGTGACCTGAGCTAAAGTCGGTCGCTTAACCAACTGAGCCACCCAGGCACCCCATCAAATAGACTTATTGCCATCCATGAATTAGAAAGTAAGAAGCATAATAAATACTAGCATTTTATTCTTCAAATAAATCCTATGAAAATATAGACATATGACATCTCCTGACATCTCCGTGCTCTATTTAGGGTGAAATAGTATGATATTTTTTACTTGAGAAACTGTATGTATACTTTATATTTAAAAGCCTAATCGAATAGTGTTGCAAGCTTTTTATTTTGCCAGATACTTATATAATTACTTATTTCTCTCTTTATTTGTGTGCCCACCTACCCATATCATGAGATTTCCATACTTCCTTTTTCCCTTATTAAGCACCCTTTATAACTTCTCTATCCTTAGTGGTTGCAAAAGAGAATTTGGACAATAATCTAAAACATTAGATCTCACACTTTCTAGTCAACAACTGATTAATTCCTTTCATCACTATGAATTTTGCTGGCCAAATTATATGTGGCATTTTTGTCCTCTGTAAGGTTTATAGTTTTGGTCAGGAAAGATTTAGTAGATTTACTCAGTCACAGAAACTCCTGCTGATGATTTAAGAAATGAAGCTTTTTATTAAATGAGGCTTTTTATTTATTAAATGAAGCTTTTTATTTTTATTTACATGATTTAGCATGGTATGGATTTGATTTATGAAAAAGGGATAAATCTCTATGTGATTCCCCTATTTTAGGATTAGATACATGTTAAATCAAAGGAAAACAAGAGGAGAGTAGATGGACAGCCAGCAGTAGTTTCTCAAATGTGTATACAGTGGGCTCTGTAAGTCTGTCTATTGGCATGTCCACATCAGGATAAAGCTCTCTTAGCAAGGTTATTGACCCAATTAATGTCCCTCACTGTATCAGATTTTATTTTACATTGAATCATATCTTTCTTAAACTTGGTAATTTCAAAACAATTGAAATAAAGAAATAGTTTGACAGTTTTTAAACATAGTTACATAATGATTTCCTTACAAATAACTTCTTAGTATAGTAGTTCAGAAAAATAAGAAAGCACTAGGAGTGAAAAGCAGCCACAGAATTCCCCATGGAAAGGATGAACCGAATCAGGCTTTAAAGATTCCTCAGGTTTTGTGGGGGGCACCTTGAAGAGGGTAAAATGACTTGAGCAGAGTTATGAGTAAGTTAATAAAAGAGCAAGTATCTTGCAAAGTGCCTAAAACATCATAGCTTTTAAATACATGCTTATTTCCCTTTACTTATCCTATTAGGAGTAAAATGACAAATGTAGTAGAATATTCTTCAAGAATATTCTTCACTTCAAAAAGACTAAGACCTCAGAAACTCTCTCAACTGACCCCACCCCCACCCATTTTGCAGTCAAGAAAAGTGACTTGCCTGAGACAGGAAAGAACTTCCCCAGAATCACTGACTGAATTACAGGCAGAAGTACGAGTGAGATGCAGGCTTCTGTATCCCATTTTGGCATTCTTGGCTGCACATGCCACGCTAAATGGAACAAACTAGTGTTGAAAGTGAAAATGGGCTGGTTGGTCACCAAATTTGTCGCTAATTAAGACAGAAATTATTTTGTTTGTATAAAGAAACCTATTATATTCCTAAGTGGAACTTGGATTCCTAAGACATTGTTACCATGGCAGGTACTGGCAAGTTCCTGTCAGAGCTAAAGAAATCTGACCTAAAAGCCACTTGAGTGTCCTGCATAGCACTGGGGCACTGGGACTGGTACACAGCAGTAAGAGTGTTCCCTAAGGTAAAGGGACCTTGAGCAAAGCATGTCACATTCTATGAAATTCTGGCCTTGAACCTAGATCACAGCAAAATAGATTCAGTTCGAAAGGGCCCCTGTTCTTTTACCCTCCACTCAATATATAGAATAAAAAACCTAAGTAAAGGGCATTTTTGCTCCTCTTAGACCAAAAGCCAGCCTTCTAGACACAGGAGTCAACTAGTGTTACTCTCAAGAAAGCATCTACATCTCATGTGAGGACTAAGATAGAAACAATAATTTTGTTTCTCCCTTAATTTATGAGAAATGACAAAATGACACTCAGCCTGAACAAATTAGACCCTTTCAATGAAGAGGTAATGAAATCCTTATGATTTTAATCCCTTGAGCGATCCTTGGAACAGCTTAAGTATATCGGAGCCCCCAGGAGGATCCTCTCCGTGCCGAGTAATGTACTCAGTAATGGAAGAGTGCTGATGGTTTTTATTACCACTCTTCCGTTAAGTAGAATTGCTGTTGCCTTTCAGAGACTGAACAGTTTCATTTAATTGCTTTCGTGTTTCTTCTTTTGCACTCTAAGACTCTGTACCAACGGGCAGTGTGTTAATGTACCTACACGGTACTATTCTCTGCCCTTATGTATTTAGCTTGGTTTGGGCCACTCTGGCAAAGAGGAGAATTACCTGTCTGAGGAGACTCAAGGCCTTGGAGAGACCTCTTGGTACCACAGAATTGGGGGGCGAGCATCCCTCCCTACCTAACTAGCAGATACTTAGACCTGTGACTAGGTGACTGATCTCATATGAACCTGTAAAGTTAAGTAGGAGACTGAGCAAGGTAGCATGATAAAGTCATAAGACTATACGAAGTCATTTGTGGACTTTTATCTGTTACACCTTGTTCATGTTCAAATTGTATGTCATAAGTTTTCTATTTTCCTATAGCAACCCAGCAACAGAGTTAGAGCATAGGTAAGCCAGCAGAGTCCTGAGAAAGCCACTATGAAATATGTCTAGGATCCTTTCTGGCACCAACTCTTCTTGCCCATGCATTAGTTCTCCTAGAAACCACCAAGAACTGGCCCAAGGTAGAGCTTTGCATGTTGAAATTGGGGCTTTCACTGATAATTTTGTTGTTTATTTGTAAATTGATCTGGGAAACTTTGCTTGCCTTCTTTAAGAGATAAGGTAAAAATGAAGTGCCCGGAAGGTTTCTTCAGGTAAATACATAGTTTTTCAGACTTAACATCTTAGATGTCTCTCTTGATCAGCTGCCATTGGCAGGCTGTTCATACAACGCAGCCCCCTTACAAGGCAGATGCCACAATGAAAATGGAAGCTTGGTTGTCAGAATTCCCTCACAGACTGTTAACTGCTTAGCTTTTTACTGGGCACCAATCCTATTTGTGTTCAAAGATAATAAAAGGCTAGTGGCAAGAGTTAGGAAAGATGCATTCTATCTCTGGCTTTAAACATGTTTTTGTAGGAATGTTTTGTTTTTTTTGTTGTTTTTTTACCGTTCTTTATGTTATAAAGATTTTGGAATCTTCAGATCTCACTAGCAATTCTTCAGTACTCATTTCCCACTGTTGTCTTTACCATCTTATGTAAGATTTTTTTTTTTATGTAAGATTTTAAACATTGTGCCAATACACTTATAATCTATATTCCTGATCCTTTCAACTTCAAATTCATTGTAGAAATTCCAGCCAAGGCATCTTGAAATTGGCTTTATTCTTAAGGGTCACTGTGGAATATATTTTGCAGTAGTTTTGTGAGACCTTTATTTTTAAACTTTATTTTTAAATTCACCAAATTGGCAAGTTAATTTTAGGCTTTGTTATTCTTTTCTATCACACATAATCCTGGATTTTCTCAGTTTTAGAGGCTAGGTACTTCTTACTTCTTGATTTTGTTTTTGTTTTTGTCTTTCCTGTGTTTGAAGAAAGTGTAAAAGATCCCCAACTATAGGCTGCGCCTATAAATGAGTAAAGTGGTGGTACTAATAGCATGCCATTATTATTGCTCATGATTGGCAGATCTCTGCTGAAAGTTCTTGTTGTCCATTTGGCAAACTTAGAACAGACAGCCCTATCTCAGAGCATTTTACATGGATAACCAACAGAAGCAACTGAAAAAGCATGTGGAAATTCCCATTCTCTATTCCTACCTCAATACTTGTATACTGTTGACTATTCAAAGCACAGAACTCAGAAATGGCTTCCAAATTCTCCATCAGAGAAACTTATGTAGGTTTTTTTTTAAGATTTCTCATTGCACAGCAATTGTACACCTGAGAGAACTAAATATTTAACCTGCTTCAGCTCTATGAAAGGTGATTCCAGTGAAAAGGTGGAATTTCCCTCACACCTTCACTTGGACTGATCCTTGCTCACCCTACTGTTTCTTTAAGGAAGACATGGCCTTCAGGCCTTACCTATTTAAACACACACACGTAACACACAGTGGAATATTACTTAGCCATAAAATAATAATGCAATTTTGCCATGGTTAGGCCTAGAGAGTATTATGCTAAGTAAAACAAGTCAAAGAAAGACAAATACCACATGATTTCATTTACATGTGTAATCGGAAAAAAATGGGAGCATCTGGATGGCTCAATTGGTTAAGCGTCTGACTCTTGATTTCGGCTCAGGTCATGATCTCATGGTCGTGAAATCAAGCCCCATGTAGGGCTCCACACTCAGCGTGGAGCCAGCTTAAGATTCCTTCCTCTTTCTCTCTCTCAATCTCTCTCTCTCTCTCTCTTTCTCTCTTTCTCTCTCTCTCTCTCTCTCTCTCTCTCTCCCTCTCTCCCTCCCTCTCTCCCTCTCTCTCTCCCCGTCTCCCCCTCTTTCCCTCTCTCCCTCTCTGTCTCTCCCTCTCCCTCTCTCTGCCTTTGCCCCTCTCTCCCTCCTCCCCTCTCCCCTGACCTTGTTCTCTCCCTCTCAAAACAAAACAACACAAGTGAATAAATAGACAAACAAAAAGCAGTAACTGGCCCATAAGTACAGAGAACAAACTGATGATTGCCAGAGGGGAGGGATGTTAGGATGGTCAAAATGGGTGAAGGGGAGTGGGAGGTAGTCTTCCAGTTCTAGAAAAAGTAAGTCACTGGTATAAAAGGTATAGCAGTGGTTTTGTAATGTCATTGTATGGTGACAGATGGTAACTACACTTGTGCTGAGCACAGCATAATGTATAGACTTATGGAATCACTACACTGTACACCTAAAATTAATGTAACATTGTGTGTCAACTATACTTCAAGAAGAGAAGGGGGAAAAAAGAACTGTTTTGTTACTCTTGATTTACAGAAAGAAACAGAAGTAAAGGAGCGGTCTGTTTTTGACATTCCTATATTTACAGAGGAATTCCTGAACCACAGCAAAGGTAATTACTAAAGTATCATTTTGTATTCCTCAGATTTGTCACAGGGGATTTCATTCTCAGGAGGGATTCATTGCTCAAAAGCAATGGTAGTGATATTCTCCACCCTAGGGCTAGTCTGGAAGAAGAAAGCTACTTTTTTTTCCACTCTCTAGCAAAGGTAGCTACTCACAAACCAGTGAATAAAAGGTAGACCAGTTTTGTTAAAGCTACTTTAGTTTCTGGATCAAAGGAAATAAATATGCATCACTAATTCAGTTGCTTTCAAACTCTTAGCCCAAAACCCTTTGTATAATAAAAGCTTATATGGGCATCCAGAATATAAAATGAGTAAGAGCAAAGCTGACCCCATTGCAGGAAAGATGGAGACCCACAGCTGTGCTTGCATCAGTCTCCCAGGATCCCCTTGCGAAGCCCTTCAGGCTTCTCATTGCATAGTTTTAAAAAACAAAACAAACATTGAATACCAAGAATTGCAACTGTTCCTTGCAATTTTAAGTAGGAATATGACCAGCTTTAAGAATTAAAATAGCTCTGGGGACCCAGGCATTTTATTGCTGAAATTGCTATCTGGAAGGCTATAATGAGACTAGGGAAATGAGGTGGGGTAGCTAATTAGAGACAGCTAAGCAGAACTTCCTTGTAAGAGTCTTTGGGAATCCTCCGAGACTCCTAGTGCTACTTGTGTTCTGCGCGGGGGTGTGTCCTCAGCCCGGGAGGCAGAGCTCCGCCAGCTTCGCAAATCCAACATGGAGTTTGAGGAGAGGAATGCAGCCCTGCAAAAGCACGTGGAGAGCATGCGCACAGCAGTGGAGAAGCTGGAGGTGGATGTGATCCAGGAGCGGAGCCGCAACACGGTCTTACAGCAGCACCTGGAGACCCTGCGGCAGGTGTTGACCAGCAGCTTTGCCAGCATGCCCTTGCCTGGTAATATCACACTTCCCCGAGCACTTTGGTGGTGGGGGCAAGGGAGCAGCTGCTATTTGTGTTGGTAGTGGTGGGGTAAGGCTGAAGTCTCCCCACCAAGAGGAAAATCAGTAAAATAAGGGTTTTCCTCCCTCAGCGTTTTCTGGGGTGTCACGTAATAGTATCTCCATATTGGCTACGATCATCCACAATTTTGAACTCTCTGGTCATTTAAATTTTTCTCCAATTACATTTTATATAATTTACTTTCCTTTCTGTTAAGCTTAACTTGATATTCAGAATAATGGAAACTGAGTAATAAATCCTGAGTAGGGCATTTTTCTTATATATGTTTGTTTGCTTTGTAATTCTGTTTTAATGGGAAGGAAGAGAAAAACAAACACTAGTATATTTTATATACTCGTTCATGTTAAGGATAATTGCAGCAGAAAGCAGGGAGTCTCTAACATTTTGTTATATGCAGCTACTCCTATGTACTGTATAGCAATTATATAGCCCATCGTTTTATTCAATCTCTGTGGATTAATTTCATTTCTTTGAGGTCTAAAAGTCTCATCTGAAATGAAAACCTGGTCTGTGGAGTGGACCACATTAGAGTCATAGTTGCCTTAACTTGGAGTCACTTAACTGTGTTATGGTTGAACTGAATAGGGAGGATTTTCCTACTTTCTCTTCTTATCTCACTTCAGGAAGTGGAGAGACACCTACAGTGGACACCATTGACTCATATATGAACAGACTGCACAGTATTATTTTAGCTAATCCCCAAGACAATGAAAACTTCATAGCTACAGTTCGAGAAGTTGTGAACAGGCTTGATCGTTAGGGAATGGTGAGTGCTCACTGATGCGATATGTATGTGCCAACACGTCATCAAAAATAAGAAGGCAGTAGACTTTCTCAGTACTACTAAAACCCTGGCATTACATCAAACAAATGAATTGGAGACTTGATTAAAATCACTGTTACATGATTACTCAATGTAATAAATAATGTTAGAAAAGAGTTTTTTCTCATGCATGCCTCAGCATGGTTAATGGAAAGAGCATGATTTTTTGTGGTTGAACCTCCATTCCAGCTTTGGCAGTTATTAGCTGTATTCTCCAGTGTCAGTTTCCCAAAGTGTTTTGAAGAGAGAATGGGAAGCTTAGAGGAAATCACCCCCCAAAACAGCACTTAAAATAAATGTCACTTAATTGTTAAACTTCCTTTTCCCTGGAAAATACTAATGATAACCTACAACAGCAATCACTGAGACATTGTATGTATATAAAATCTACATGAATAAGAAGCTTTTTATTCACCACTCAATATCAGAGTAACTATTTGTGTGTTAAATGTTAATATGAACTATCCCTACAGTGAAACAGCTATTGCCCTGTTTAAACAGATTTAGAGTTTAAATTTTTTTTTTAATGTTTATTTATTTTTGAGAGAGAGAGAAACAGAGTGTGAGCAGGGGAGGAGCAGAGAGAGAGGGGGAGACACAGAATCTGAAGCCGGCTCCAGGCTCTGAGCTGTCAGCACAGAGCCCAACAGGTGGCTTGAACCCACGAACTGTGAGATCATGACCTGAGCCGAAGTCGGACGCTTAACTGACTGAGCCACCCAGGTGCCCCTAAACAGATTTAGAGTTTAAAGGCAGGGGTGGGGCAGGGGGGCGCCTGGCTGGCTCAGTTAGAAGAGCACTTGAATCTTGATCTCAGAATTGCGAGTTCCAGCCCCACATTGGGTGTTGAGATTACTTAAATAAAATAAGAAAAGAAAAAGACTTTAAGTAGATTTAAAAACTAAACTCTCAATAAGCAAAAAAGAGAGGAGAGAGAAAATAAGCCCTTTAAAAATATATTCAACAAATGACTAGTAGTAGTTCCTCTTAGAGAAGAAAAAAAAAAATACATTTCCAGAAAGTCTGTCCGTATAAACTTTTTGGTATGAATGGTCAGTCATCAGCTGTCATTTCTTAAATAGAACTCGTAGGTGTTCACTTAAATTCCTAGAGCTAGGGTGCCCTGTAGTGTGGCATCCCACAGAATTGACAACCCTTTGGTCTGCAGGCCCATTCCTGCAAACGTAGAAACTGTGGAAATCCTAGCACCATATGATGAGGTGGCCATATATGGATCCAAAAACAAGAGGGGACAGCAGGATAGGCTTCTTACACTGGCCAGTCATGGTTTTGAATCTTTATTTATTTGTCCTGCAGGTACGTGAGCACACTCATACACATGTTCATATTGTAGCATGGTTTGGGCCTTGAGCAAAATGTATAAGAATAAATAATTAATAAAACCCATGATTCTTGTCTAATGAGGCAACATCTGCTAGCAGAGACAAAAGCAGTAGTCTCTGTCCTCCTCGGCCATGCCATTGGATGGTAACTGTGTGAGACAATGCAGGATATGTTAGCCTCTCCTGTGCCCTGATGGGGAAAGGATTACCGTCCTGGATTACCGTCTAGTGTGTAGCCAGATGGAACCGACCATACTTCTAAGAGATGACTGGACTCCCTACAGAATAAAGAAGTGGCATTACTGCTGCTGTTGGCGAAGGGAACAGCTTGTAAATCTAGGCCTGGGATTTTCTGGAGCTCATCATCCTTCTCATTTTCACACAGTGTTTTCAATTAGCACTCTTGTAGGCTTGAAAAGAGAGAGCCGGGACAAACAGTGTGGAAGACTGTGAAAGAACACAGTGATTGATAATATGGTGTCTCCTCACGTAGGTATAGGGCATTTATTGCAAGTTTTGAGCCAAAAGTGGTTTTCTATTTTGAGCATTTTGCCAGTGAGAAGACTCTCGTAAAGCCTTACCCATCCTGAGGATATAAACTGTAGTATCCGTTCTCTGAGGTATCTTTGAAAACCTAGAATGTACCTGAAATACGAACCATTTTATTACTACGGATTCTTACAATCCAGCCATGCAAACATAACTAAGAGTAGATAGTTCCCCACACCCCTCAAAACTGTCAAATGAAACAATTATAAAGAGTGTGATTAATACTAGCTTGGCCTCATTATACAGATATGTACAGACAGCTAGGCCTGATGTCCCCAGCATTCGTGGTGCAATTAATTACTCTGACATGAGCTTGGCAAAGGTTTCATCCACTGTTAGGAGCCAGTGAGTGAGGGAAGCCAGTGTTCTACAGTTTTAGAAGAGCATATTAGAGCTGGGAGGGACCTTTAGAAATCCCAACATTTTACATAGGAAGAAACTGAGTGACAGAGAGGTGAAATTTCTTGCCTGAAAATACCTAAGTAGAAGAGTGCAGAATCTAGGACTAGAACACGTATACCCAAATTCTAGTTCAGTGGGGTTTCTAAAACATTGCTATAAGGAGGTGGGGGCAGGTATAAGGGGAAGGCACCAAAAACCTTGGAATACAAGTGTTAAGATAAATAGGAGGTAAAGAGAAAAACTTACAATCCAGTGATTAAATGTTATAAAAATTTGGTCAGCCCATTTAAAAATTATTTTTATGGACATATAGTGGAAGACTTGCCCTAGTTGTCACCTTTCTCTGTATCTAACCTAGAAAAAAAGTAGGGCTGGGAGGAAACCATGGGGGCAGTTTCACATTGAGAGGTGACCATGTTACATAAGCTGTCAAAATCCATATGTTGCTTGATTTCAGTTTAACCAAATGAAAAATGTTTGGCTCTTTGAGGAATTGAAGGAAAAAAAGCCCTTTCTTACGCGATTGCATTTTTAGCAATGTAAGAAAATGTATTGATCCTGTGCACACAATACATTGCTATATATATGCCAAAGTTTTTAGATTTATACTTGAAGAAAATTGGTTTTGATTGATTATACATTCTTTGGTCTAAAATGGAGTACTAATTTTCCATCATCAGATTTGGCCCCGATAGTCGCTTTTCTGTGTTCAGCTGACGATTTTCCTACCTCCCCACTGTTGCTGAACTGGAACTGAACCATGTTCTTCATTGAAATGTGATCTCAGACATCTCAGGGAGGTTGTCTGCTTGCAGCTTCATGCACTCTTGTTTACCCGAACCCTGCTCCTCGCCATAGCCCTCCCCAAAATAGAAGAGAGTATTTGTTTTTTTCTAACCCATAGCTCTAACCCTTTCTGATCAGTGCTCACCTTTTCGGTATCTTCATTGTTTTCTCCCTCCGGTTCTACAGGTCTTAGAGCTCCGTGGTGTTCTGTGAGTGGTTTTACTTGTGAGGAATGAGAAGCCATCCATGGAAATTTGAACTGAGCGGAGGCAGAGAGGGGGCACAGATTGCTCTGCTTGGGGAAGAACTGTCAGTTAGGAGCTAAATGCCTTCACCCCGGGAAGCCATGTGAGGGAGCAGCCAGAGGAACATGGATGCACTCTTCCTGTGGAACCGGCCTTGTGCAGCTTTGAAAGCGTACAGCCGCTCTCCCAAGTCTTCGGTTTCCTGTCATCTGCATTTCTGATCAAGTGGGTCTGCGGATATTCTGCTGACCGGGCAACCCTGACACTGACATCTTCTGCAGCCGAAAGGAAACCTTCTCATTGTTCCCCTTCAGATGGGACCCTTTTATCTGTGGCTCCAGTTTTCTTACCTAGCTGTCACTTTTTGTTTGTAATGCCTTTGGGGGTTATTTTTTATTTCCTTCACCCCCACCAAGTTATACATCTCCATTTTCTGACCTCTGGGCTTTGTTGCTCAGCTGGCTCTGAAGGAGAGTTTCTCTCATTGGACAGGCCCAGGCTTCTCCCATCATTGTCCTGCTGTGACTCCACAGAAAGGAGCTTCTTGTTGACAGTGTCCTGTGGAGCAGGCTGTGTTTCTTACCCCACATGGCGCTCAGTGGGTGCCAGCCCTCATCGAGGCTTTGTGATTGCTGCCCTGAAGGAGAATGCTCTTTCCTTCCTCCTTGGTACTGCCTGCTGTTTTCGAAGCATTGCTCCTGCACATACACGGTGTCCCAGCCCCAGCAAGGCTCTTCTGTTCCCATCTGTTGGCAGTGTCTTGTGGAGCATTTTCGCTGAGGAAAAGGTCACTGGTAAACAGGAGAGAATGGGGAAAGTCGTTTCTGATTTGGGATTGGAGAAAAGGGAAAAAAACAAAACAAACAAACAAAAAAAAACCCAAAGTCTATCATGAGGGAAAACTGAGGGAATCCCTGTCTGCTTTAGGTGTACTGACGCTCCGGTGGGGATAGGTGGAAATGTTCAAAATAGTCTCTTGAGCTGACAAACAAGGGCACAGAGGAATTTGTCTTTCCTCTGTAGCCACAACTGCAAAATCTATGTCAAAAGGACGGGCTTCCCTTCCTTTTCCCCTCTCAGTAAGTGATTTTTTTAACACCACAAGGGGAGAGAGGTTTCTGATTCTCACCTCAGGGTTTGGTTTTGTTTTGTTTTGATGCTCTAGAGCACAAGGCTGACAGTTGCAGCTGAGATCTTTGGAACCAAAGTGGGGCATGCTGAGCCCATTGTCTAGGCACCGTGCCACTGAAGCAGGTGGAAATGTGTCCCCCTCACAATCTGCTCATAAGCCAGGGTGCAAGCCAGAAACCCCCTGTCGTGTTGCTGCCCCATCCTGTCTTCTCAGCATCTCCTTACCTGATTTCTTTATTAGCCCAAAGGAAAGAAAATAACAACAAAAGCAACCTTTTTGCAAAATGTTATGTGAGCACACATCAAATTTCCGTGCACTGAAGCCTACATACAACCACTTGACAACTTCCTAGAATAAGAGCCCATCGTTCCTTGTTGCTATAAACCTAGCTTGCTTTTCTGTATTTTCCTGTTTTTCTGCCCTCGCCTGCTGTTCCTGTCACTTCTCTCAGACTCCTCGCCTGCTCAGTCCAAGCTAGAA